CCCTCTCCTCCCCTCCCCTCCTCTCCTCTCCTCTCCTCTCCTCTCCTCTCCTCTCCTCTCCTCTCCTCTCCTCTCCTCTCCTCTTCTCTTCTCTTCTCTTCTCTTCTCTTCTCTTCTCTTCTCTTGTCTCCTCTCCTCTTCTCTCTTCTCTTCTCTCCTCTCCTCTCCTCTCCTCCCCTCCCCTCCCCTCCGCTCCCTTCTCTTCTCTTTTCTCTTCTCTTGTCTCCTCTTCTCTCTTCTCTCTTCTCTCTCCACTCCTTTTTCCTTTCTCTCCCTCCCCTCCCCTTCCCCCCTTTTCCTATTTTTACTTTGAGTCAGGGTCTCACTATGGATTCCAAGCTGTCTTGAAACTTAATCTGTAACCCAAGTTGGCCTTGAACTTTCATTACCATCTTTATATATGGACCTATCTCAGACTTTCGAGAGACAGAATTACTGCCATCTTCCCAAGCACGAAGACAACATATTGAGTCTCAGTCAGTTCCATTCAATCAAAATCCTGCTTTCAAAGAGAGTCGTTTTTAGTACACAATATTTCTTTTTATTCTTTGATGTAAGTTTAACTTTGTTTGATGTAAATTCCATACATTCATAAGTGTATTTTGATCACATCCAGTCTTTCCCGCCCTTCCCCCAAATCCCCTCCAACTTCATCTCTCCACTCCCTCCTCCTCCTTCACTCACTGAGACCTGAGACTTAGTGCTGCTTGTATGTGAATAGCTGAGGGGCCACCTGCTGGAGCTTGAGCCACCTACCAGAGGCCACACCCCGACTCTCCCTTCCCCAGGAACCTTCAGCTACCACTGGGTCCTCAGATGGGGTTGAGGGTTTGTGAGCCCCTCCTCCATCCATGCTGAAATACTGAATGGCTTGATCTTGCTCACAGCTGCTGTGAGTTAATGCAATGGCCGTGGCATGCGCACAAGTCTGCATTTCACACAATGCACCTCCACATCCTTTGTCTCTTACATTCTCCCTACCCCCTCTTTCCTGATGTTTTCTTAGCCTTGAGTGTACATGTTGCTATAGGTGACCTACTTAGGGCTGAGAGCTGATTGTCACTTCTTCCATAAGAGGGTTTTTCAGACTTTCACTACCATCTTTATAGGGGCCCAAAGTTGTAGGAATTCTATATACTAAGACTTATTTCACTTACTCATAACTAATGATATTATATTCCATAACGTTCTAGAAACCTTCCACTCTACTTTCTTCAAGTCTCCCCAAGTTTTACTACAGGTGAAATCAATTTTTGATGTAAAATATTCTGACAAGATACTTTGGTCTATTTTTCCCTATTATACACAGAAATGCAAAAGCAACCTCCCAGTCCTTCTTTCAACTAGACTTTTGGCCCTGACCTGCCTACTGTACTTGAAGGAAACCAATGGACAGTAGTTCTAGAGGGAAGAGCTAGAGGAGGGATTTGTGTTTAGATCCTGACCTCACCACAAGAGGACTGGAAGTCACGGGGTCTTTATGCCTTTGTATGGCAAAGCAGGTAGGTTATATATACAAAGAACCACCTTTCCCACCCCACCCCCAACTCTGTGACTTTATTCATTTATCTGAAAGAAAGTGGGAGTATTAATAAGTTAATTTCTTTGACAACAACTTGCCAAATAAAGTGACTGGTACCTAGCAACCAGCTGGTCCTCATCTCTGCTTCAATTTTACCCTAAGTTACTTGATAAGATGAAACTTGTGTACATTCACCAGATTTGCCAAGGCCATGTTCAGGAAAATGCTACGTGGTAAAAGAGAAATATTTGTCCTGGGCTCCAGAACTGTTTTTCTTCAATCTCCTGTGCCCAGTACATAGTCGCTCAAAACTTAGTCCATTGTGGTGGCACACATCTGTACTCTTAGCACCAGGGATGCTGAGACAGGAGGACTTTTTAATTTAAGACCATGTAATTAAACCCTAGTTTAAAATGTTTATCAAATGTTTTTGAATTGGACAAAATCAATGGAGAAAATGAGAATAATAAATCACACTATACAAACAGCATAGGCAATATGTCCAGTCAATGTGTTTCAAGACAGCAGGTCAGACCACTTTTAAGGTATTGTTTACAGTTTTCCATGTACCAAATATAAAACATTTTTAAAGTGACAGGAAAAATGTTCATATGAGGATACTTTGATAACCATTTTGAAGCAAGTTGATTATAATGTTTTCTTTATTGTCCTTCAAAAACACACCAAATGTCAACAGTCAAAAAGGCTTTGATATCATGGAACAAACATGTACTGGGGAGCCTTGCTTCATTTGGTCAACATGATTTCCCTTAAACAAATTTTCTCTGTGCAAATGTTCATCATCTTTGGACCCAAAGATCAATGGCTAAAGCTTGGGGGAGGGCATGAAAGGCCTGGATCTAAGGATGCTCTATTGATATACACAGTAGCTCTGACTATGTTCCACTCAGATACCTCAGTCGAAATGAGTTGACTTTTAAAAGCTTCTTAACTGCCCATGTGATCATTAATCGATGACTTTTCTATTCGTCAATCCATCTGGGAAAACTACTAAGCTAAGTGGCGATGGGATTAATCACTTGGAAATAAATCTATCTTAGGTCAGCAGTTAAAAACTTCAGCAACTAAAATCCTCAAGCCCAAGATCTGAGTTCAATCCCCAGGACCCACATGGAAAGAACTGCCATGGAAAGTTGTCCTCTGACCTCTACAGGTGCATCATGGCACATACACTCACATTCACATGACACCAAATGAACAAAATGTTCAAAGAAAAAAAAAGGATGTTAAAAAAATAGCTATCTGAATAGACAGGGCTGGAGTCTTCAGATTCTGTGGGTTAAACATGAAGATGTGCACAGGTTCCTTATACAGCATCTGTCCATCAGAACTATGGAATTTCAAGACACACTTTTGGCTCTCAAAGACAAAGGTTTTGCTGTCAGACACACGTGTGCTGTGCACTGAGTTTCTGTGTCATGGTCCATTCAAAACTACATTTTGTTTCCAGGTTTCTGGGGGCCATGGAACTGTATTTTCCACTTACTTGTGAAGTTAATGTTTTGATTTGTAAAATCGCCCTCTGTGATTTCAGACGAGTAACACTTTCCCTGCATTTATGTCTCAGTGTCTTCAGAAAGGCAATGGAGAGCCGCGGAATGGTCCTCAGGAACGGACGTCAGATCTTCTCTGAGGACAAGATAAGGAGTCACCTACCTGAGAAATACATAGGTGACCTCTACTGTTTCTTTCTTTCCATCATTTCACAACAAGCTCTAAACACTGCTCCTCTGTATGTAATGGCCCCACAAGAATTATAAATTGTCTGTATAGAAACTTCTAGAAGAAATGTATTCTGCTGTGGCGCTTTTATTGGCCCAATTGATGTTATATGTGACTGATGGCAGGACTGGAGAGTTAGCCCAGGGGTTAGGACAACTTCCTGCTCTTGTAGAGTGCCTGAATTCAGTTCCCAACACTCATACGGTGGCTTACAACTACCAGTAACTCCAAATCTTGGGGATCTGATGCCCTTTTCTGGCCTCTGAGAGCACCGAATGCTTGTGTACATGCACTCAACACACTCAAATACACACATAAATAAAGTCACAATTTTTTTTTAAATGATTGAAGGAGACAGTTACTTGCTAGAACAAGGAGTTCCCAGGCTCCCAGGACTGGACTGAGGGCTAGCAAACACTCAATAACCAGCAGAGATTGAGGGGGGGCCTCCCCATTGGCAGAGCTCAGAAAACAAGCAATGAACTCATGTTCCATCTGCTGAGCAATCAGGAATGCTCTGCTTAGCTTCCCAGCTAGTGAGAGGCAAGGGGCTGGGAGATACATGGAAATACTGGGGAACAAAAGTCTTACTGGGGTCTCTTCTAGTTCACTGTTAAAGCGTGGGGCATGAGCACTCTATTTTGACTCCCCGACTTAGTAAATAATTTGCGTTCCTCTCATAATAACGTGGCAGTCATGGCGCTAAGTGCCTTGCCGCTTACACTGACTGCTGTGGCTGTGCACTGATGTCCAGCCGTGGGCCTTTGTTATTTTGCTAGTTTGTTATTTTGAAGGTGGGAATGCAGTGGCTCACTCTTGGCCTGTGTGGCCAGCTGCGTGCCATCAGGAGAAGCACATGATTGGTACTGTGGAATCAATACAGGCCTAGTGACACGTACTGGACAAGCCTGTGGCCCTGGTCTTACTCTCACAGTGAGCTTCAATTCTGCTCAAGGACTCTTTCCCCAATTTTGTGTATTTATTCTACAAATAACACAGTGATAAAGAAATTCTGAAAGTACAAATTAAACTCCATTTATAATCCCAGGTTTCCTTTCGGGTTTTGCTAAAATGGGATTTCCTCACGTGTTTGAGCAATAAACAGCAGGAGATCGGGCTCAGGGGTCGGAAGACTGCAGTCGGGACCCTCAAGCACTCATCGTCCTGCAGCATGACTTGGGGCAGGTCACCACTCTTGCCTGTCTTCAGTTTCCTCGCCCTTAAAGAGAGGGATCTCTTCTCTAACCCAGCACATACCTGTGGAAGTTCTGTGTGCCGTGGGCATACTAGGTCCTGAGTGAACGGTGAATGCTGATTCTAACCTTCAGGCTCTCACAGTATAGCTGGAAACACAGACAAGTAAGACCTTGCCTCTTATGCCTGCCTTTTGTACCTTAGAGGATTGTTTTGGAGTCTTAACAAGATACTTCTTGCAAATGTATGACAAATTGTGATGACCTATTTTGTGTGTGCATACATACACATGTGTACCTGTGTGTGCATATTCATGTGAGTGCATGAGTATGGTATGCATGGAGAGGCCAGGGGACAACTTCTAGCGTCTGACCTTTCTTTTCTCTTCTTTTCTTTTCTTTTCTTTTCTTTTCTTTTCTTTTCTTTTCTTTTCTTTTCTTTTCTTTTCTTTTTTCCGTGTTTTTGAGATCATGACTCTCACTGGCCTAGAGCTCACAATTTAGACTAGGCTGCCTGACCAGTGAGTCCAAGGGATCCAGCCCATGTCTCACTCCCCAAGACTGATTAAAAGCGTATACTACCGCCAGGTGGTGGCGCACGCCTTTAATCCCAGCACTCGGGAGGCAGAGGCAGGCAGATCTCTGTGAGTTCGAGGCCAGCCTGGTCTACAAGAGCTAGTTCCAGGACAGGCACCAAAAACTACAAAGAAACCCTGTCTCGAACCCCCCCCCCAAAAAAAAGCTTATACTACCACACTTGACTTATTTTTTTAAAACATAGGTTTGGGGAATTGAACTCATATCTTCATGCTTGCGTGTCAACTTTATCCACAAAACTATTACCCCCATCGATAAAAAACTATTTTTATTTATTTATTTATTTTTGTTTGTTTGTTTTGTTTTTCGAGACAGGGTTTCTCTGTGGCTTTGGAGCCTGTCCTGGCACTAGCTCTGTAGACCAGATTGGTCTCGAACTCACAGAGATCCGCCTGCCTCTGCCTCCCGAGTGCTGGGATTAAAGGTGTGCGCCACCATCGCCCGGCAAGAGCTATTTTTAGAAAAATACTTACAAATTGGTCTTCTGTGAATAATCTCATTGTGAGATGTTCTGTGTCCTCCCTGTAAACAAAAGATCTATAGTTTTATATATAAGAATGTAGTTAGATCTATATATGTGCATGTGTGTGCATGTGTGTGTGTGTATGTATGTGTAGTTTATGGACTTTCAGTAAAGTGGGGTGGTATTTCTGATGCAGAATGTTTGGCCCAGCTCTGTAGAAATACACAGTGTTCTGTGTTTTGCCTTTTCTCAAAGGCATATCCATCTCTCATCAGTCTCAAAGAGACACCGTTCCTGACCGGAGATACAGACAGGAGGACCTCAGGACAAGGAAATGATAGGATACCCTTGACAATAGTCAACAAGCCCAACTGTGAGGAGCTTTTACAAGCAGGCACAGCTGAACTCATGGAGTGGCTATTTGTCTGAGTATAGTGAGTGCTGGGCAGCAAGGATCTGTTGTCAATGTTATGGACATGGTTTCTGCTTTCTTTGTGTGTTTTGTTTGCTTGCTTGTTTTAACCTAAGCTAATGTCTAAAAGCTTATTTCTGGGATTTTGTAAGTGCCCCTGTGCCAGGGTTCTCGGGTAAAACAAGCTATATCAGACTGTCCCACAGCTGAGGAAATCCTGAGGAAGGACAGTCTCTGAAAATATGGGAATGTCACAGCATCTGTCACAAGCCACATTCGCACCAAAATCTTATCAGTAGTGTTGGCTTCAAAACCCATTTCCAAGGTTGAGAGTTCTCATGAGGGGAAGCTGAGTGACACGGGGACCTGGTGGTGGTAACAGTGAATTCTCTTGGAGCCTTTTTTGTCCTGTTTGTGAGCTTAATGTTGCCCTTAATCATGGGGAAGCCAGAAAAATGGCAGCAGTGGACACTGAAGATGGCAAAGTAGAAAAACACTAACCCTTCTATAATGAAGGGACTGTTTCAAGAAAGGTAGTCCTGCCTGAAGCATCCTGGAAAGAGGCTAGAGCAATAAGGAATTAGGATTGAATTTGTAGGTCAAACTGAACTTTTCAATGACAAGAGTAATACTCATGAATCACAATCCTAGCGTCAGTTTTACCCAGAGAACTGACTCAGAGCAGAAGTTAGGATCTTGGATTTATGCAAGTGGAAAACCATGTGAGTCATACATTAGTACCAGTGTCCGCCTGAGGTATTTTCTTAAGGTGGCGGTTGTGAGGAGGCTGACAGACTTAGTGAAAGAGTGAAGTCTCATTGTTCACCAGCTTGCTACCTATCCTGATGTCAACTCTGTTAAAATGGAAGTGGGCATTGAAGACTGTCTGCACATAGATTTTGAATATACTAAGCCAAAGTATCATTTAAAGGATGTGATCCTTGGAAAAGGTCACTTCATATCAGTGAGAATAAGAACACAACACACGGAGTTTCAGCCGACCAAGAAAAAGATCACAGGAATTGGAGCCAGCACCATAACAGAAACAGAAACAATGGCTAAGTATGAAGTAATGGATGGAGCAGCAGCAAAAGGAGAATCTATTCCCCTAGGCCGTTCTTAGCAGGGTATGACCCAGTTCCCACAATGAGGGGTGTGAATAAGAAGTTTTCAGTAAGGTGTTCTTTGAACCTCGGCTTGTTTATGAGAGACAAAGGGTACTTCAAGCAGCAGGAGATCATCCTGCAGAGAAAGCACCTGAGAAACTGAGAAAACAGAGAATAAACTCTCACCAGCAATTTGAATTTCCAGGATCACAGGCATCTGTGGGACTTCCTGAGATGCGAGCAAAACAGGACAAAGCAGCAAGAACAAGAGCTTTAGCCAGGAGGTGAAGCTGAGCAGGTTAAAGTTGGTTGCAGCACGGGGAATGACCAACTCCATGTCTGGCAGTCTTCCTTATCCTAAAGTGCTGCGTGTGTTTTACAGTATGACCAAAGAGTCTTTGTGTGTGGGGGGAGGGGTGGTGGGAAGGGGGACCTTCCCAAGTTTGATTTGGGTTCAACTTATTGTCAGAATATCTTACTGTGAAAAAGCTGTGGCAAAGTTCATTAACTCATACATTGCAGGTTCCCTTGAGCCCTTTAGGCCACACCAAGAAACATGAAATGGCACTGCTATTTTTGAAGGAACTGAGTGCATTATACACACTCTCTGTATGTACCTGTTCACACATGGGGAAATAAGGAGCTGGACCTAAGGGCTACATGAGTAATTCAACTTAAAGAAGATTCGGGTCTCAGCATCCACGTCAGGCAGCTCACAACCCTCTGTAACTCCAGCTCCAGAGCATAGGACCCTTTTCCTGTCCTCCATGGGCACTACACTCACATGCACACACACCACATACAACACGCAGAGAGACATAATTCAAAATAAAACAAAATTTTTAAAAGGAAGAAAAATGGTTTTAGTTATCAAAAGGTGAGGTGAATAAGGTTTGGACAGGAAGCCTAGCAGGATGATAACATTCCAGATGAAAAGTTATCATCACAGGCAGGAGTTCGTAGGCAGCAGTGAGCAAGGCATGGTGTGAGATCCATGAGTCCTCTCAAGTGAATACAGTTTCGTGTTGAGAACACTGAGGTGTGTATTTGGGCAGCCACAGAGGACTCATACTCACTGGTTGTCTTGGCCCATTTTCTGCTGCTGTACAAAATACCTAAGGGTGGATAATACATAAAGACAAGAGGCGTATTCAGCTCACAGTTCCTGGCTGTATCTTGCATGATAAAAGACAGCAAGCTCACCACTTTCACCATAGCCCATCTGCCCGCAGAGCCATTCATTCAGCCATAGATTCATTCATACTCCACAGACGGATGCATTCATTCACCAGGGAAGCTCTGACCCTCAGCACCACTGCACTGGGAACCAAGTTCCCAGTGATTGAACTTTTCAGGGACCATCACAGCGGGAAATCTTAAGTACGGATTCTGGTCTTCACCTTAAAGATAATAGGGGAGTGTAGGGTAAGTCCAGCCAAAGAAACCCACCCTGACTCTGAAACCAGAGCCAGTGAAAGAAACACACCCTGATTCTGAGACCCAAGCCAGTGAAAGAAATGTTTTAGCTCTAAACCCAGACCCAAAGAAATGCGCCCTAACTCTAAAAACCAGTGCCAAAGAAACCTGCTTTGTTCCTAGAATCAGAGTCAGTGAAAGAAACATGCCCTGGCCCCCAAACTAGAGCCAAAAGGCTTAAAAAGGCCGGTGAAAGAAACAGTTTGGTTCTGAGATCAGACATCTCTGCCCTGACAAACTAAACCAACCAATCTCTGAGCAGGGAAAAACTAACCAATCCTCCTCCCCCTTCTCCCTGAGAAAACTCCGCCCCTAAGAAACCCTATCTACATAGCCCTGTGCCTGTTCAGTGCGCCCTGGTAGATGCAGCCACTTTCCTGGATTCTTCCCTCCCAATTAGTCTCTTGACTGAGGTTAGGGCAGAGAGAACGGAGCAGGGCTGTAACACTTTCACTGGGGGAGCCTTCCCCTAGCAGAGCAGAGTTGTGGAGCGCCAGAGCCTAGTTGTTAACAAGTTCCCTAGGAAGCCCTTTCCTGGGCAGCAGAGCTGTCACATTGGGGAAACCTTCCCTAGAGCAGGGCTGTAAGCTGCTAAGCTTACTGTGGTCTGTGCTATCCCCTGGCTCCCCGCTGCCAGAGCGCTCTTCCACACGAGCTATTACACTCAATATTCCCTGGTTCCCAACTGCCAGGATCCTTTTTCTTCTGAGTAGTGACACCTCCAGGGAGTCACTGATTGTTACAAAAGGAAAAGGTATAAAACCATTTTTTAAAAAATATTTTGTCCTTTCAAGCAATATGATCCACCAGCCAATTCTGACTTGGGGAGTGGGAGCTCATTTAGTCCAACTCAATATTATTTTTTCTTTTCAATTCAAAATGAAGGGGCAGGAGAGATGACTCAGTTTTTAAGAGCACTTGCTGCCCTTACAGTGAATCAGAGTTTGTCTCCCAGCTCCCAATCACCTGTCACTCCAGTTACAGGGAAATTGGATGTCCTCTGCTGACCGACCGCATAGGCACCTGCGCGAACGTGCACATACCCACACACAGATATACAACATGTACATAAATTAAAAATTAGAAAAATAAACCCTATACATTTCTTTTATTATTCCTATAAATACTGACATTTAGAAGGTTGACTTTGTTTACAAAAAAAAAAAAAACCTTTTCTGTAATGTTGAAAAGCCACTTAAGTTTCAAGATCTGTTGGCTTATAACACTGACAACATAAATCATTGTGAAAGGGTAAGAATTTACAAAAATTTGTGTGTGCATGTGTGTATGCACATCTGTATTAACACATTACAGATGTAAATTATAATGGCAACAAGAGGGTCTTGTTTACTATGTGCTGGTTAACCTGCTTACGAGAACTCACGCCCCTACCTCTAGTCTATAAGCCTACTGCACAGATTCACTGAGTCTGGAACATTCCAAATACATGCTTGTAAAATGACCTTGTACTGGTAAAATAAATCACTCTACAAGACAGACCATAAACATAAAACGTAGATCTAATTTTTATTCAACAGATTGAAAACTGAGGACTGAGGTGCAAGCAAAAATATAGCCAATAAACACATAAATTGGGAGTGAATTATTATTTAGAGTAGAAGACATAAAATGTTTCATGTTCAAAGGGAAAAAGTTTACTTTGACAGCAAGTATAGCTTACTGGGAAGCTGTGTTGATGATGAAAATTCATACAATAGCAGCTTAGGGTGCAGAAAAGCAAAACTACATACAGCAGTTTCTCTTTCATATATACAGTTACATATGCATGAGATCTATGTGGTATAGATATATATGTGATTGTTCTCATAGGCATATGTGTGTACCTACCTATATGTGTATATGAAGGAACAGATTTCAGGATTTGGCCTTGTGCAGTTCTAGGAACTATTTGGCTGCCTCTGACAGATTTATTGCCTCATCCCTGAAGCTTGAAGTTCATAGGACAATCAGGAAGAGACTATGGGTTGGGGAGGTCACCAAGAGGGAGGCATCAAGAGTACTCTGGAATCTGCCATCGTCATCTGGGGTTTATGAGAACAGAATGATATCCACTGAAATTCATCAGTTCCAATTGCCTCTGACCTTGGATGACATGAATAGCCTTCAGAAGCTAGGAAGGAGGCATCACTGTGAAGTTCAATATGCTCACACCTCGTGTGGGGGTTGAAGAAGCTGAAGAAAGAGCCAGGCAGTATGGAAAGGCTGCAGGTGTGGAGATGGCCTCATTCCAGCAAGGTGAGCCATCAGCTGAGTGACAACATGTGAACTACAAACCTCTGACCTCTGGAGCTGTTGCAAGAGTTTCTCTCAGGACTCACCCTAACAAGAGAAAGGAGAAATTGGGGGGGGGGAATACACTTGGCTTACCAGAGTCACAGACAACACAGCGCTGTCACAGACAGCAAAACTTTCCACTGAAGCTGGAAGGACTTTACACAGCCGCCATCTTGGAAGCTTTGACCCCCCCCCCCCCCCCGGAATTGGAAAATATGAGGTAGATAAAGAGGAGCAAACAGAACTCTAGGATGACCCCTGGGTTTTCCTGATCTAGTGTACGTACACACTATAGTCCTCTGAGTATGAGCCAGGCTTTGTGAACAGAACAAGAGCTTGCCTATGCTGTGATTATGTTAGAGTGTACAGGGGTCACCTAATGCAAGATCTCCAAATCAGTAGATGTTGGGATGATAAGAGGATAATTATTCCCAATGGATATAGTTCATTAGGTGAGCCCTTAAAGTGTACTAAAATCTCCTCAAAGTAAATGATTTCAGTCTGAAAAGGTCTGGGGAGGAGGTCACACTGTAAGAACCAAAGGACAGCTGCTAGCAACCCACAGCCAATTGCTGGCCACACAATGAAAGCCTTAGTCTCTCAACAACAAGGAAAAGGAAATCCGCCAACACCTTGAGGGCGCCCACACACTGACCTTTCTCTGGCCAAGCCTCCAGATGATGGCATAGCAATCAACACCTTGATCTCAGCCTCATGAGATCCCTAGTGGAGAAGCATCAACACCAGGCTGGATTATTGGCCCCTTGAATCTCTGCCATAACACATCTGTGTTGGTTGGAATTAAGCTTGAGATAATGCTGGTAGTTTTGTTACGCAATGTAAGAAACTACTACACTCATTACAAAGCAGCTCAAGTTTAATCACAAACCTTGACTATATAAATATATAACTTTGTGCAATGCAAAGATAGACTTTGGAAGTTTCCAGAACTTTAAAAGTTTTGATCAAAAGAAAAAAAAGCTTTGATCATATATCTTAACCCCACAGACTTTTAAAAGATATTTCAAAGCTGAAATCTTAGACAACACATTTCTTTCTTAAATATTCAGAAATCAAGCTAGCCACTAGCAATAAAACTTCCCAGAACGAGCATTCCTGAAATCACGTTATGGACAGTCATTTGGTCTTATCCATTTGCATTTATGCAGCTACTCAAGAGTGAAACATTTAATAATGTAATTAGCTAATAACATAAAAATGGAAGAATTTATTTAACATGAACTCATTCAGTACTCCAAAGCCATTTGGTGAAATTTAATGGCCATCCTTGTTTAATTTTACATCTTAGCGAGTGTGGAGCTACAGCTTGGTGATTAAGAGTTCAATCTGGAAGAATAACAAAATAAGAGGTTTCTTTAAAAAAGTGAATGAGTTATCGTTTGTTTTTATAGCTGATTTCTCAACTTCTTTATGTGCCTTCTTTTTAGAAAAATTTCAGAGATTAAATGCTGCTTTAAACTATGGTACTTAGATTTTGTTAGATGGACAAATACGTTAATGTAGTTAAATTGGTTTTAAAATACATATTTTTTAATATTTTTTAAAATTTATTATGTATACAGTGTGCTGCCTCCATGTATGACAACAGGTCAGAAGAGGCCACCAGATCTCATTGTAGATGGTTGTGAGCCACCATGTGGTTGCTGGGAATTGAACTCAGGATCTCTGGAAGAGCAGTCAGTGTTCTTAACCTCTGAGCCATCTCTCCAGCCCCCCAAATACATATTTTTACCTGGAACCAAAATCACATGCTGAGACTAGTTTGACCTTTGAGATGATCATCTTATTTTACAATCATTTGCAGTGAAACAATGTTCCAGTGAGCTTTAAAATGTATACGATGCTAATTGGTAAAATTATTAGTAAATTATTGGCCTCAATATTTTACTGCTAACTTGCAAAATTACAAGTGTTTTTACCTAAGAAAGTGTATAAAATTTAAAGAAAAAATTTTGTACTTTTATTTTTCAGAGGACCTGAGTTTGGTTTCCAAAACCCATATCAGGCAAATCCCAACTTCTTATAACTTCTTAGCACTGCCGACTGCCATCTGCCTTCCCAGGGCACCCTTATACATGTGGCACACACACACACACACACACACACACGGGGGGGGTAGGGAGAGAGAGACAGACAGACAGAGAGACAAAGAGACAGAAAGAGAGGGGGGAAGAGAGAGAAGTGGTAAAATATATATATATTTATTTAAATTAACAAGAACTCTTAGCATGTTAATAGACGTGTGAAACAATGAATGACGAGTCACCAAAGGCATTGTGTTTAAACGGAGGAACCATACAAGCATGCTGGCTTTATTATTGATTTATTACTTTTGTAAAGATTTCAAACAAAACAATAAGAAAAGGAAATAAGGAAATGTTCATATTGTAAGAGAAGAGATATAAATGGGTATTATTCAGACTTCATTAATCTGCTACTTCAAAACATAAATAATTGCGCTTGCAATGAATTGTGGCTACCCACAGTAGGTAGGTAGTACACAGTAGTAGGTCATCTGTTTTTGTAAGTAGTCTTGTTCAATCTGTGGGGAAGAAAGAAACACTGTAATGGAATCCTGTAATACACACCTATCTACCTCTACAGGACTTTGTAGAGGCTGTGTTATTGCTTAATATGCACATGAACAAACTTTTTTTTAAATTTGTATGTATGTTCCTGCATCTTAGGTACACACATGGAGCTCAGAAGCCTCAGATCGTCTGACACACACACACACACACACATTATAGTTACACAAACACACATACATATTCCAGGATTAAAACTGTAATTTCAGTTACACATTTTATATTTTTAATCTTTCTAGTATAGTTTGTTTCTTCTCCTCTTCCTCCTCCTCATTCTTCTTATTATTATTATTATCATTATTATTATTTTGGTTTTTCCAGACAGGGTTTCTTTGTGTAGCCCTGGCTGTCCTGAAACTAGCTCTGTAGTCCAGGCTGGCCTTGGATTCAGAGATCCACCTGCCTCTGCCCCCCAAGTGCTGGGATTAAAGGCGTGCGCCACAAATGAACTTTAGAATTAAAGTTCAATCTTTTCCCAAGCCTAACTAGTGACGCAGCATTAGCTTTGTGATTAAAGTAACAGTCTGGTATTTTCCTCATCAGATACCTAGACAGTCTCTCCGTTTACTCGTTTATGTCTTCAAGTACAAGGACATCATTTCCTCCCCCAAGGTTTAACAAACTTCTTCAAACTTCTCTTTTCTGGAGGTTTATCTGCACTTATTTTTGGAACTGGGATCTTGGACAAGATCTTATCCTTCTTTCTATTGTTCACTAAAGTCTAAACTGGATTTCTGTGGGTATGGCTGTAATGCAAACATGTATTTTCACAGGAGAGCCCTGTGCCAGTTAAAGAAGGAACAACCCCCCCCCCCCCCCTGAGTGGTGAGCCCAGCTCTGTGATAACTTCAGAGTTGACACACACAGGGTGGCCAACCTCTGGCTTGCCATCACAGTCCTAGATACCAGATCTCTAAAGTCAGAAACCATGACAATAGCATGCAAAAAACTATCTCAGCAAAATAAAATCAGGCTCTAGTTTCTTTTGAGACAGTCCTAACTCCCGACAGCTTTATTCCATCTCTCTGCCGAGATGTATCGATCCCCAAATGAGCCTTAGTTTTAAGAACCACACTAACTCAGTGTAAAGGTAGTGGAAGAAACTGTCCATTTATTTTTCTTTAAGAATGAGTGGGACAGAGGGAAGGGGGGGGAGAACCAAGGGGGGGTAGCTACTTGGAGAGGCAGGAAGATCAGGAGTGCTGGATATTGGGGGTGGGCTAAGGAGAGTGACACTCAGACATAGCCCATCATATGGCTACAATGTTTCCATCCACCCCTTCCTCCAGTTCAAAGAAAGGTATTTATAGCCCAAAGGTTATTAAAACTATAAACACCATTGTGCTATGAGAAAACAAACACAACTTTGCCTGTGTATGTAAAGAGGAGCTGAAGATGTGGTGTGAAGAAACGAGGAAGACAGGGCAGTGCTGAAAGTCAGCCTGTTTCTAGTTTGCATTTTGGCCAAGTAGAGGCCAGGTAGGTGTGTGTCCATAGAGCAGACTTGCTCTTAAAAAGGAGTAAGAAGTTAAAGTGAACCTGAGTGCTGAAGTCTGTGATTACAGATCAGAGCACTGAGCCTCAAACCTGTAAGGAAAGAGTTTGGTTCTCACAAGAGGGAAGAGATAGAAGGTCTCAAAAAGATCCGACCAACTCTGGCTTTTCAGGTAGAGCCCTCCACCAGAAAGACCCACCGAGGTAGGACCAAAAAGCGGGGAACTGTCACGACTAGATAGGAGGTTATTTAGACGGAGCAGCCTAACCAACACTCCAGGTCAACGCCACTGCCTGTCGGGCGCACGGCTCAGGGTGGCGATATCTGGAGATCGGGGGGGTTTGTTTACTGTCACGTTTCTCCCCACGAAGATGAAAGGAAGATGGAGTCGCTGGAGTGAGGAGTCCACCAGAGCCTCTCCCAGAGGATGGCTGAGTGACAGCATTCAGCTTTCCACAGCTAGCCACGTCCTGCAGCTGGAGCAGGGATCTCCCAGGGCGTTTCACATGGCCAGTTCACATGCTGTAGGTCAGCGAAGTTACTATTATCTTACTATAGAGAGGGCTGGGCATCTGGACAGTGCAGTGGAAAATGAGACTGGCTGTGCCCAAATGTGTCTTCCTAGGGATACAGGAAGGATGGCTGGAATCTTGCCCTCCCATCCTGGCTGGTCAAGAGCTGCAGTTAGCTTTGGGGGGGGGGGGCAGGAGAGGTGACATCACAAAGTAACTGTTAACAGCTCCTGTTGTTCCCAGCACCGGGGTACTGTGGACACTTACAAACGTCTCGCAGCTGCCTGGTAAGAGTCTGCTATTGACATTTTACAGTGGTAACATCCCAAATGGAGCTGGGAGGTCTGGGGCTCCGTTTTAATAGAACTAGAAATAACCAACTTTCTGTTAAAAGGAGCTTGCTTTACTTAAGCCTTAAATTTATGGCACATTTGTACAAGAGAATATTGCACAGTCATTAGAAAGATGAATTAAACATTGGCATAGAAAGGAACAGAATAGATTCTAAGAGAGCAAAACCAGTTTGATCAAGTAAATATATTTCACATTTAGGAGGAAAAGTATTGTACATATCTACTAATGAGAACCTTATAGGAGAGTATTCCAATTCTGGTTATCTCTGAAGCCAGGTGTGATGATATTTTGATGTTTTACTTTAAATGTTTATAACTTTTTTGAGTTAATATGATTTTATATTCAGAAAAGTTTATCCTCACTCCCCCCCCCCAAATGGGGGAAAAATGGAACAGCCAGATGAAATGGTAATTTGAAGTAAAACAACTTTGAAAGACTGTTTTCAGCATAAGAGAAACTTGGTCTTGTTTGGGGCCCTGGGATAAACGTCAGTTTAGGAAAGAAAGGAGGTGAGGGGAATGTTAACTGGCTGGAGTCCCTGGAGGCTGGATCAGGGAGCCAGAATGGGGCTCACTGCAGAAAGAAGACAAAGGAGGGGGCACAGAAAGAAACCGAGGCAAACTTTTGAGAAGGAAAGACATGAAAGAAAGTATAGTCGATGAACCTTACTTTTCTCTGGAAACCCTAGGGGAGAAATTAGCTGTGTGGGAGCTGGAGGGGCCTAGGGGAGGCAGGTGCCTGCCATGGAGAAGGAAGCTCGGTGGGATCTGGATGACCCAGTGTTTGTGGGAGAACTTGGGGGTCCAGCCCCAGAGAGATGGATGATTGTAATTCATGGTGCAATCTGGAGCCATGGACAGGAAAGGTTAACTGAGGATGCACTGGCAGTGCGGACGCTGTGCCATAATTACCTGCCAAGGGACAATCAATACAATGATGTGAGTTTCCCTAGAATCGTCCAGCTGTCCGGGAGGAGAACACTTGAGACAAATCCATGCCCAAGCGGACCCACAGTTGGGCTTGCGCAACAAGGATGGAGACGAGAGTCAACAGGTCAGTGGAACCCGAGATGCAGGTAAGTGCATCATGAAGCCAGGCAAGCCGATAGTAAGAACTTGGTGGGAAGAGAGGCTGGCTTTGTGAGAATGCTGCCAGGCAGATTTCAGGAAGAGCAGGGATGAAAAAACAATGCCGGGCAGTGGTGGCGCACGCCTTTAGTCCCAGCACTTGGGAGGCAGAGGCAGGCGGATCTCTGTGAGTTCTAGGCCAGCCTGGTCTACAAGAGCTAGTGCCAGAAGAGGCTCCAAAGCTACGGAGAAACCCTGTCTCGACAAACAAACAAACAAACAAAAAAACAATGAGGAACGGACATTTCAATCAGTGAAACTAATCTTAGTGTTAAAGACTTTGAAAGAGAAACAGTTCCGGGATATGACAGTTTTCAAGTGTGAACAGACAGAACTAGAGTGGAGCCCAAGGGACAAGGCAGAGGAAGTAAAAAAGTGATGTCAGGAAACAATTGATAGTCTCCTGAGTGGGAAAAGTCAGGCACACCAAAGAGAACGCTGGATCCAGGGAGGGTCACATTCAAATGGAATTAAATGCACATCGAAGGCTGGTCTTGAACACTCACTATGGAACTGAGGCCAGAGAGCCCAGCAACTTTAGTTAAAATTGTTAACAGCAGAATGGGTCAAGGTGTTGACTAGTGTGGAGCAACCTCCCAGGTGTCTGCCTTTGGGTTTTGGTTCAGTGTACTTCTTATTTTATTGGGCAGGGTAGTCATTTGCAGGACTTTGTCACTTAGACTATTAATCCTTAGCATAAGAGATCTGATTTTTAATCTCCAGGGCCTAATGCTGTGTCCGAATGATGTATTTAGTGAGAATTTTTCCTAGATGAGTGAGAGGGTTGGATAGATGGATGCATGAAAGGATGGGTAGATTGGAGGGGAGGATGGATTAATGAATAAATGAAATAGGATGGATGGATAAGATAAAGACTGATGAATGGATGGGATAGGATATAGATTGATGGCTGGGCTGGGGTAGATTAACTTATGGATAGATATCATTCATGGATGGAAGGATGGGTGGATAGAGTGGATGAATGAATGGTATAGATGGATATAAAGATAGATAGAATGATGGGGCAGATGGATGCGTGGGATGGGTGAATGGATGGGCTAGATATATGGATGGGGTAGAAGCATGGATGGATGGATGGATGGATGGATGGATGGATGGAGTAGATGGGTGGAAGCGATGGATGGGATGGGATGGCTACATGAATGGAAATTACCAGTAGCCCCATGTATCCATTTAGAACACTAAGGGAACCCACAAAGGTCCCTCCCAAGGTAGAGGAAGGCCAAGGTGATGTTCACTGCTTACTTTCATAGAGTACTTGGGAGGTTTCACTTGGAGGCTAGGGACAGAAGTGAGGAGTTATGTTTGATGGTGAGTTACGGTGATAGTGAATAATAGATGCTAACCTTCACAGTTGCTCAGTCTCCATTTCCAGGCTCTTCACACCCTCTCTCCGGGTCAGTCCTAAAGGCTTTATCTGTCAGCTCCCTGGACACACCCTTTTCGAGTGGGCCCACATTTCTTCCTTCCTCCTATCTCTCATACGCACCTGCAGCTGCACTTCACACAAGTAGGATTCACAGTGCTCACTCTGGTCTGGCCTTTCCCAGGGCTCCTCTCCAAGGGCTTTGTGCCGCTTTCCCCAGCCAGCTAAGGACCCAGCAAAATACCTTGATGGGTCCTTTTATTTTCCACATCCCATCAACCTTTCTCATTTTAGAATGCGAAGAATCATTAAGTAGCTTCCTCTTCTTCATTGTGAAAGCTGTTCCTCAGATCTAGAATAAGGTAACACCCCTATGTGGATCTATATATGGCTGTTTTATGCTCCCTTTAATCTGATCTCCAAATCACAGCTAGGATTATCATTTCAATTAGTTAAATTTGTTCATTGACAATTTTTTTAATTTTATGCACTTACAGCCTCTCTGTGGAGATTTTATTTTTTGCCATTGTTCTTGTTCCTCCTTCTCTTAGTACCCTACCTTTTCCTGCTTTTCTCCCCCTTTTTAAATTGAGCTATACATTTTTCTCCATTCTCCTCCCTCCCTTCCCCTCCCCTTCTATAAATCCCATGCTCCCAATTTACTCAGGAGATCTCGTCTTTTTCTCCGGCCGTACCACCCTGAACGTGGTACGTTCTCATCTGTTCATTGACCGTGTAATGTGTACTTAGGGCATTCTGTTTAATCTTGGTCCCTACCCTTCTTTATCTCACGCCCCCACCCTGCCATCCTTCCTCCTCTTCCCCACCGCACCCCTTCTCACATTCGTGTCTTTTTGTTTTGTTTGTGACCTATTCGTTTGTTTTTTTGTTTTTTGAGATGGGGTTTCTCTGTGTTTGTTGTCCTGGGTGTCCTGGAACTTGCTTTTGTTGTTGGCAGGGCTGACCTCAAACTTATAGAACTGCTTGCCTCAGCTTCCTTCCATGTGGGGATCAAAGGCATGTACCACCACCACTTGACTTGTGACCCACTGATTTTAACCAGAGACTGTCTGTGTGGCCAAGGGTTTGGAGATACTCCATGGAGCCCTGGTGAGCTCACCACTTGTTAACACAACTGAAGAAAATGACTATCTCTTGCACAGAATCCATCAGTTGCCAGTAGTTCATCAGGGACTGTGAGCAGAGGATGACTTTTTTAAAACTTGAAGATCTAGTGATCTCATTTGCCTGCCTAATCTACTCCGATGATTTATGTCACTTCTACCCTGACACACAATTCACAAGGCTCAAGAGTCTGATGCCCTGACCCCAGGCTTATCCTGCACAGTGCTCCTTCATTCTCTCTGGAGGCTAACCGCCGTGGGTGTGTCTCTCATTCTCTGATAGGTACCGTGTTGCCCCACCTACTCCACCCCTCAAAGTCTTACACATCCACTTCCTTCCCCATTTCATGTGAGTAAGCCTTGTGCCTCCTGATCTCAGCTCAGACATGACATCCTGGGAGACACTGCAGAGATCTCTCCAACAAGGTGAACCTCCCTTGTCATATTTGAGCACAGGAAATGGTCCCCACCTGTGGAGCATGTGTCTCAGCTGCAAATGTCTATTTGTGCCTGTGTGATTGTTTCCTATCTGGTGGTCTCCATCACACTCAGTTCTATGACAGGCAGGGAAGACTGCCCTGCTTTTTTTTTTTTTTTGCTAAGGGCTGTGCTTGGCACACAGCACTTATGCCATAAATATTTATCAGGTGAGTGGATGAACACGCCGAAGAACACCCTTTGTCTTTAAGCTGAAGTCAGAACAATAAAGTCCTGTTTCTCTGGTCTAGCAACCAGGACTTGGGCATAGCGTGGTCATAGGAAACTCTCCAAGACGATGCTATCCACAATCACTTCTGCGTTTTATTATCTTCTCCATGGTCGTGTAATCAGGAGCTACAGTCAAAATGCTAGGGTCTACCCTGGGTTTTGCTATAATGTGACTTCTTTGCTCTGAACTGTAAACCTTACCTGCAGCTTAGGTGTTTGGTCCTGCCCTTGGGCTCTCCCCAGCGGCTCTCCTCACATCCTCTCCTCCCTCCTGCCTGCCTGCCTCCTCAACTGGAGAAGACTGGAGGCCTCCTGCAAAGGTAGGGGAGGGCCCCCAAAGAAGAATGAAGCCCAGCAGGCTGCTCTGTGGGAGGGAGGGAGGGAGCACAATGTGGGTTCTAATTCAGTGGGACTGCCTGGGGGGTATTGAGAGGCTACGGCTGCATTTCATCTTTTCAGACAAACCAGCTTTGGAAATCAGGCCTTGCTTCTTGGGCAGAACAAGAAACTATTGTCAAATGTAGTCTGTTGCCTGCAAAGACCTTGATTCATCAGATTTGAACTAGGCGCCTTAGTGAGCCATGGCCACCCCTTTCTTCTTTAATTGGGGTGGCATACAGTCTTACTGCCCACCCTTCCGGCTCAAGGGACTAGAAGCTCAGCCCTCTGGTGTGTATTGCTCCTTTCTCTGTCATTTTGATTCTGGAATCCTAAACTTCGCTCAGTAGGAAGGGAAACCGTGAACAAGGGGGAGTTCCCATCTTGTCCAGTAAACTCGCCTTCTTATTAAGCCTTTCAGATGCCCCCTTGTGTTCATTTAGCTGTCTCTAGATCAGCTCTCAGCCACTCTAGAGGACTTTCATGAAATCCCTGAGGCCATGCCAGATGGAAATGAGGGGACTGATCTCTGGGACAACAAGCCTCTTTTGCCCTCACACCCTCTAGTCTTGGTTGAAAACCTTGGGTAGAGAGTGTTCAGAGTGAAGGTATCCATAGCTGATCTAACAGTTCTCAATTAACACCCAAACCCACCCACTTCCGAACAGGGAAAACAAATGATCAGAAAGACTAAATTGTGTAACATGTGACTCCCTTCGGGACTAAGGGCGGTTTGGCATCACAGCCAACACAGCATCTCTTTTTCTCATCTCCAGGGCGGGGGTGGCGGGAGAGTCAACAACAAAAAAAAGCAGTCAGAGAATAAAGGTAATGATTAATCTATCAGGATCATTTTGAGGATTTGGGGTTATAACTCACTAATTCAGCAGCAGGCAGGGCAGTCCCTGAAAGCAGACAAAGATTAAGTCACAGCCTCTAATTAGGACAGCCTTTGCATAGCCAGTATCTCCCCAGCTGTCTCGGGGAATCCGCCAGGAGCTAAGTGTCCGGGTTTGTTTTCTTTTTACGTGGTAGCGAAGGCCAAGGAGCAGAACAAGCGGGCCTTGGTGGAAAGCGCACATCTGGCAGAAACTCCAGGATGCCTTCCCAGAAGGAACGCACCAAGAGGAGCCTCACACAGAGGCTGGCCCTAAAAAGCCGTATAGCTAAGGAGACAGTCTCTGAGTTCCTGGGCACCTTTATCATGATCGTGAGTATTTCCTGATTTCCCCAGTTCTGATCTCATGCCACCTTCCTGGCTGCCAAGCTACTGAAACAGGCGTCTGTTTTGGTTTGTCTTCTTACCAGATCCAGCCTCTTCCAGGAAGCAGCGTGTCACTTTCTAGGTTGTCTGGCTATTTGGTGACCATGTAAATTTCATTTGCTCTTCAGGTTTATCCCAGACAGCTGATGGGAGTGGAGGATGGGGGGGGGGCGCGGCGGTGGAGAGCTCTCTTCGTTGCGGTTTCTAAAAAGGCTATGTGATGAAAGAGTGAGTTGCTAGAAATCTCTACTAGTTGAAGAACTGACCTGTGTGCTCCACTTGCTTCCCATCAGGTGACTGAGTCACCTGGAATAAGCACTAATGGTCAGTAAAGATGAACAGCAGGAAACAGGCTACCAAGAGAAGTGCCTGGCAATGGCAGCGCTGTCAGATCATCTAACTTAAAAAAAAAAATCACACATCCATTTATTTATTTATTTATTTATTTATTTATTTATTTATTTATTTATTTATGAGCCTTCCCTGAGGGGTGTGTGTGTGTGTGTGTGTGTGTGTGTGTGTGTGTGTAAGCAACCTGCTGGAGTTGGCTCTCCTTCTACCAGGTGGGCTCACGGGATGGAACTCAGGCCTTCAGACTTGGTGGCACCTTTATCCACTAAGCCATCTCACCACATGGGGTTGGTGGGGTGTATATGTAGTCATGTGTTGATTTCATATAATGTCCCCCTTTTGATTTAACTTGGCTTCAGCAAATCTCTAAAGATCTTTCGATCGACAGTTAGAAGAGCTTCTTAGATGTTAATGAGAACTGGGCCTAAGAATCTCCGCAAAGATTTGTTCAGCTAAGAGAAGTGTTGGGGGAGAAGAGAGAGTGGGCAGAAACTATTGCTAGTTACTAAAGTGGTGTGAGCCCTGGCTACAGGCTCTTACTGTGCCACAAATAATGGACCCTGAATTTCTAGCTGGACTCTGACCCTTTGCAAAGAGAAAATTATCATCATGAGAAGACTATTTATTTTGATTTAACTTTTATAAAGCACTAAAAAACCCTACTTCGGACACATTTTCATTTTCTCAAGAGTTTTTGAGAATTGTCTTCAAGTTTTACACATTAGGAAGTTCTTGCTTTAGATCAATGAGGGGGATAGGGATAGAATGCGTCAGCTGAGTCAAGACAAGGAGAGTTAAAAGATAGCTTTTGGCTTCTTACCTTTCCCTGGAGGGACGCTCCTCCTTTTCTCACCATAGTCAAGCTCAGAACCTCAGTCAGGGCAGTTAGAAGGATAAGAGAGAAAAGAAAAAAGGCCTGGAGTTTTCTTATTCTGATCAGAGCTTCCTGGGAAATTGCCCTATGCCAGATATGGAGATGGTTGGGTCTTCTTTTAGATAAAGTCTCATTATGTAGCTCTACCTGGCCTAAAACTCACTATATAGATCAGGCTGTCTTCAAACTCATAGAAATCTGTCTATCTCTGCTTCCAGAGTGCTGGGATTAAAGGTGTGCACCCCCCATGACCATTTGGGCCATGATATTTGGCAGTCTAACCCTAAAAAAGCATCGCCACAGGCAGATTTCAGCCTACAGTGACTTATGCAGAAAAATGAAGTCAGGCCTATATTAGCTCTCAGTGCAGGCAACAAAGAAGTGAGCTCAGCTTCCTTTTTACAACTGAAAATGTTTAAAACTCTTCCTTGTTTCTTAAGAATCAGTTTCATAATTCCATTGCTCATTGAGGAGGTGAACGTTGCTTCCAGTAATTCACCATTGTGATTATGCAGCCTTGCACCATCTTCCCCTATGTCAGTATTATCATCCCATCTCTATCCCCAGCGCTGGCCCCGGATAGGAGGGCTTGCTGTTTCCAAGGCCAGAAATTCAGAACCTCCACCCCTGCCCTTTTCAAGCTGGCCATAAACCCTGGAAATACTGCATGTGATTATAGGTCATAAGACCCCCATTTCAGGACTCAGCATCATACCCTGGAAGAAAGAATGTTGTTAAAGAGAAGGGCAGAGAAGATTCGGGGCAGATGAGCCTTGCTGGCTCTCTGCTCAGTGATTTTATTAACTTGTTTTTTGATGCCTGGAATAAACCCCAAAGTCTTGTATGCAATATGCACACACTTTGCCTCTGGGCAATGCCTCCCAGCCACAACCTAGTTATATAGCATTGCACAAGGCTTTGACACTTCCTCACTTGATGTTTTAGTCTTGTTTACGTGGTGGTGTCGCCATAAGACAATTGAACCGAACTGAACAGTCCAGGCTACAGCTGGACAGGAGGAGGTGCCTACAGGGATAGATGTGGATTCTGCACCCCTCCTCTTAGCCATCACTCTTCTCTTCATCTGTACCCCTTTACAGAATCTTTTAGGAGAAACATGTAAATTCAGGATTTCAGGAATTCTCAGTTCTCTGAGATGCACAAGCCAAACTAATGGTACCCCAAGGAGGGGCTTGTAGGAACCTCAAATTAGAATGGACCAGTCAGAAACACAGTTCAAACAACCTGAAGTTCACCAATGGGATCTGAAGTGGGGGAAGGTGACTCTTGAGGCCTGAGCTTCACCCTGTAGGATCCTTTGCTGTCTCCACGGGGACTGTATCAGTGCTGAGTTGGAGGGCACCTCTTTGATGTCTACTGCAAACTAGATGGCTTGGTTGCCAGTGGGGAGCAATCCCACGCCTTTTGGGGTCACTGTGTTCTTCTGCATTGACTTCTATGGTATGAGAACAGTTTCACCCACACAGACCAATTGTTCCAGGAAGAAGCTAGACATAGACGATCTGAATGTTGCATGGTAGAAAACAGAACTTTAGGTCTTCTGACTAAAGGTAATTCTGTCATGAATGATTAATTCCTATTGTACCAGATAGTTGCTAAATATAATCTAGAACTTTGGTTGTCATGTACTGTTTTGTTGAAGCCTTAAAGAGAAATGCAAATAAGAAATGTAATTTTTTTCAAACAATGAATTCCCATACAGCTGGATGACAGATTCGGCCCCTAGAGATGGGATCAGCCCCATCCATATTGTATCCAATACTTTCCCCAGCACCTAGCAGCACCAAGGTAGGGTGGTGCAGAGGATTAGCTTCCTACATCACAGACTCACGTGCTATTGCCGTCACTGATTTCTGAAGTCAGGCATCCCTTCCTCAAAGCTCAGACATCCCTCCCTCCAAGCTCAGATAGCCTTCTGCTCTAAAGTCTATACATGGAAGGCAGCTCTGTGGGTTGCTACTGCTTCCCCAGCTTCTCCACTTAGTGGCTGGCATTGTCAGGAGATATTTCACTGATGTCCATCTCAGCTCATTTCTCTATCAAACCTGGACAGAGTCCTTGTTATTTATAACACATAGTTTTGCTCAAGGTCATCTCGTTACATTATTCCTGGTCTACTGGCAAATGCACATCTTGCCTGCATTTTTCTAGTAACAATTTGCCTATTGGCAAGACCTGAGAGGGATCAGGACCACTCCCCCCTCCTTAGATCCCAGGAGTCTGATGGCATCTTAAAATCTGCTTTTGTTGGAGTCCCCTCAAACTTATTCACACCATGGTTGATATGGCAAAGGCCTGTAAATAGCCTTTGGGAAAGGAAATGAAAAAAGTCTTTGTAAACTGTGGCTCAAAGCAAAAATCACCAAGGCATAAGCCAAAGAACAAGCTGAAATTTGGCCTGTTAGGCACTGGGACCTTTTAGACATAGACTTTATCCTTATTGATGTTAGGGAAAGGTTGGCAATGCATCCGTCTTCTTGCCGAGAGAAGGTTTGTCATTTTATACTGAAAATAAGGGAGCCTGTGGCAAGTTCCAGACATGTATCTGGCTCTTTAATTGTTTAATCACCAAGATAGCCATATTCGTTGTTGCTATGAGTAAATAATTCTATCAGTAAAAACAAGTCACAGCTAACAGTTGGCTTCCTTATTATCATTCATAAACAGTTGAGGGCAAGGGAAGAGAGAGACCTCAAAGAGATAAAGGCCCACACTCAGAAGGTGTGGATTTCTTTTTAATTCTAGATCTTATGCTTGCTTGCCATTTCACTTCTTGCCCAAGGTTGGAGTCCCTTGGTGGTGGTGGGGGGGGGACTTTATGGTAGGCTGACCCCTTACCCCTGGTTCTCCACACACATTTTCGCAGATGGAAGCCATGAGTTGGGGGCCATAGGAACCAAATGGTGAATGGGTAGCCAGGCTGATGATACTAGGCATGGTAGCCAGGACCCCGTGTCCGGACACACATGAAATGCAGGTATGAGAGAGTTGAAGGCTGGAATCACTTACACCTGGGGCGGCAGCCTGGGGTAGTGAACTGCAGAAGCTGTACTGGCCCTGAGATTCCCAGAGAAGCTAGTACTGTCCAGTCGCCTAATGCTGCACACCTTATGGTCTTTAAAAGTGAGCTTGGTCTCCTTGAGTCTCAGCACAGCAGTGAGAAGTCAGTGTACATGGCATGTAAAGTCCCTAGAGTCAGAAATAGAATTTTTTTTGGGGGGGGGTGGAACTCCCTTTCCCCTGTTCCTGCCTGGGGGTTCCCCCATCTCTGACTCCTCCTGGGCATGTTAAGGTGGCTTTCCTCTGTATCTCCCACCAAGCTCTAGACAAACACAAATAGGACCCCGTAAGTACACACAGACTTAAAGTCTCTTCCTCTTCTGAACTCCTCGGGACCTGTCATGATTTTGTGTGATTTCTCCTAGAGGTGATGCTTGCCTTTCATTGTTCTGTGTGCTTGCATTTCTTTCCATACTTTTCAGGATTGTTTGGTACAAAGTTCCTCTTAACCTTGATGCTGAGAGAAATGTCCCAGCCAGCTTCTTCCACAGGAAAGGCATCCTTCTGATGTGGAAGCTACGGGCAGTTGGGAAGACCCTTAATTCTCTTCTTACTACCAAAGCCTCTTCCATATTAGAGACGGATCTTTTGACGTCTCAAGAATAAAAGGAAAGCATAACTACTTTAAATAGCTGTATGC